ACTAGTTGTGGATCAGCATGTTCATGTACTGATTGCAATTGTTCAGCCTGCAAATGTGCACAATAAACAAGCCAAACAACACACAACAAGACGATCGTTTAGTGTTTCGTTTTTTTTACATAGTTGTATTGTTTAATGAAATAAATAAATATGTTGATTATGAAATTAAATAGCAAATACATATTCTCTTTATTACACTACTATTTTGTTGATGATAATAGTAAATTAATTTCCTTGGAGAACGAAATATTCTATTATAGACCATAAATGATATCTCATTGTTTTTGATCAGTTAATTATATAATAATATTTGAATGAAAATTAGAATATAAAATTCAAAATATGGTATGTAAGAAATGTGTATAGAACAGAGAAAGAATAATACATACAATATGTCATAGTAAAGAAAAAGAATCCATATAAGTAAATTTATTTACATATTTATTTATTTATTTTAATACACGAATATTATTGTGTGTCAAAAGGTTTAGTAAATATAGATCAAGATATGACTTAATGCATATTAATGATTGTATGTGAAAAACACTCCCCTGTTCTTTGTTTTCTTTCTATTACCGCACCCCCTGTTCCATGCAATTCGTATATGTGCACCCCCGTTCTCTTTTTTCGTATAGTCATATGCACCCCCCTTTTTCTTGTTATAGTTAACAACGATGCCTAGTCCTATAAATACAGCTGTATATTCGATAACAAATCACACATATTTTCTCTATCGTCTAAACACAACTTCACTTTCTAATAAATACAATGCCTTGCCGATGTGAAAGTAAGTCATATAATATTAAAGTTTATCAAGTTCATTTATGTTATTTTTTTTTTCTTCTTTTTCAAGACGGAAAATGCCAATGCAAAGAAGATTGCACAAAAACTGGCAAATGTACATGCGATGCAAGCTGTAACTGCAATCAATCCAGTAAGTTTATCTATTCAATTCGTTTTTACTGAATTTCATTATTTTCTTTTTTAATCTAGGTAAAGGATGTGGTAAAGATGGATGCAAATGTGAAGACTGTAAATGTCCATCAGGTGCATGCAAATGTGGCAACTAGATATTCACAACAACAACCTATTGAATGACTTTTTTTAACAGAAAAAAAAACATTATTTCCGTCTATATGTAAAACTTTTTCTCATGTAGTATTCATAAACTTTGAAATAAAAAGTAAACTTTTAAAAGTATCATTATTATATAATTAATGCATTTTTTTCTACGTAATTTTGATAATCAAATACTATCATACCAACACAAGTTGTTTACCTTGAATATTCTAATGACGCAAAAAGAAAAGAAATATTGTAAACATTGTTTTCGATTATTTTTAGCATCATACTAATAACCAATCAAATACACTAAAAACAAACCCTGGCTAAGACATAATATGTTTTTGAGATAAGTAAATACAATATCGATATATTACTTAGTAATATTATTCCACATACTTCTTTTCAACACATACTTTACTAAGATTTCTTTCGGAGAAAAGTGATATACATTCGACGTCTAATCTAGTAGAAATTGCTACTCTTTTATTCGCATTATCTTACAAAAACGCAGTGTTGTAAGTTAAATTTTATACTTGACATAAAATCCCCGAATTTTTATTATTTGATAAATTCAAAGTGCATTTTCTTCACAATAATAAATCGTATAGTATTTGAAAGACTCCGTACTATTAATAATATAATTGACATACAACGGATTATTATTTAGTCTCGATTGACAAAGTAATTAATAAGAATTTTGTCATATTTTCATGCATAAAAAGAAGATGAAGAATAAATATATTAATTAAATAATCATAATATTTCATAGCTGTCATTTAAAAACGTTTATTTCTCAAAAGAAAAGACAGATTTTTCTATTTACTTCTTACATTTATAATAAGATTTTCAATTTCTGTTTGACAACAGAAAAATATTAAGTATAATTAAAGATAGAAATTTATCAATAAGAAAATAATCTAAAGGAATGAATTCATTTGTATCTTGTCTGTCACGCAATCTAGTTGATAATATAAAATATATGTTTTTTACTATTTATTCTTTATTGTTATCATTCCCTGACATGCGGTTAATAGAAATGCGGTAATATTTTTATCTAAATATAAAATTCTTTTTTCTTCTAGTAGAATTAATAGTAACGATTCAGAAAAACTTGTTATTAAACATAATAAATTAGTTTTTCTTTGAAATATATTATATTTAAACAATTAGAAAATGAATATATATTTTGAGTAGTTAATAGAAAACGTTTAACGCTTCTTTTAACTACAATATAAAATAAATATTCAATTATTTTTTTATTGAAAAAGAATAGAAATTATATTCTAAATATAGATTTTTGTTCATTTGTTGATGAGCATTGAAGCATATAACCGTATTGATACTGATGATGGTTGTTGGAAACATCTTCAATTATTTATTCTCTATACGTTGTTTCCGTTAACCGGCATTCCATCTTGAAGGATTCTCCGCCTGACTCATATATACATAGTCGATTCTTCTTCTTTCGTTTAATTAGCACTTCAAGAAGGAAGTCGACAAAAAGCGGAGTAAGAGAGAAAAAAGAAAATGAGTATCAACTTGTGTGCACAACAGTATAGTAAGCATTTTCAAGGTATCATATCAGTTACATTCTATAGACAATACTATTTCTTTTCTACTTGAGTGGACACTTATCGTATGTCATACGAAGATCGATTCAGTCAGACTCGTTTGCTTCTCTCCCTCTCTCGCTAAGTTAAGAAAATCCATCGAATCAGTTCTATAATGGTAAAGCACATACATGAACTTATCGAAGCACAATGAAGATAGATCTATACATGTCGAGAAATAGAACGAGACCAAATATGAGGGAAAGCGACGAATTAAATTAACACATTGCACGCGTTTAATCAAACGTGAATCATTACGAGAATGAATAGATGAAGCGACGACAATGCATTGCATAAAAAAAAGTTCCGTTTGTAATAGAAATGCTTTCTTATTTCGAATGTGCATATATCTCGCGTGACAAACTCAGATACCTAAGTCTGATTGAAAAAGAAACAGGTTGTGTGTGAACAGGTTCAAATCTAATCCGTTGGGACATATTAGATGAAGCCAAACCAATGTATATATATATACCTATATAGATGTATATATGCACACAATGACAGATGTTGTTCACACGAATTCTACCGACATAGAAAGATAAGACAACAATCGATATTAAATGACTCCTTGTCTCCTTATTTTCAAGGTTAGAAAATAATTGAAAAAATCTGCTTCTATCGTTAATAAGCGTTAATTTGGCAGTTAATATATTACGTCAGCTTAAGATTGTCTTTGCATGTGCTTTATTTGATGTCAATCTTTCTTCTTCTTCTTCTCAATAGCTTATTTCGTATGAGCGATTTCTCTTCTTCTTCTTTTTTTATGTATTCATCAGTAAGGGATCATCGATCAGATCAACGACAAACATACATACAATAGACATGTACTAAATTGATTCTTCTAACTTCATTTAGTAAGAACCGTCCGTGCGTATACATCTATACATGATCCCTATGACATGCTGCGTCTGATGATGATGTAAGCATTGAAAGCGACTGCTATTGCTGTTGTTTCTGTTAGTATGATATCGATATTCAAGAATGTACAAACAATCGCGGCTGTTCTGTATCTAAAATATGACTAAACAATCATCCAGATGGCTAGTGTATATTTCATTAAACTTCTTGAGTAGCTCGCCTCTACAATATTCCCGCCCTTCTTGCTTTTTTGTTTGTCAATTTCTTTTTTCTCGTTAAATCCATTTGAGTAGGATAGTATTCTTTTCCCGTCTGTGCGCGTTCTCATTAGCTCGTCTTCAACGCCATCACTATTTGCATTTAGTTTCCGTCGTAGTCGCCGCCACCATCATACATACATACACATACACCCATATATACATATTACAAATTAAAATCGTGTGTGCGACAAGACATAAGAGAAAAAGAAACTTTGAAAATCAATTACTTATATGTATATAAGAGAGAGAGAGAGAAATAGAATGCGCTGATCCCAACCAAGTCAAATAAAACATGATGTTAAACTGTCCGTGAACATGTCTTATTTCTTTCAGCATATTGTAAAACATAGAATCTGATGATACATATCATGAAATATAAGGTTCATTAATCATTAGATTAAAAACAGAATACATTTATGTAATAAAAAGAATCTTAATTTCTTTTTTTTTCCTCTCTTTTTTATGAAGTCATCAAACGTGCAACAATATGTTTATCTTTAAAGATGTATCATTGAATCGATCATCATTTGACATGTAATGTTCGCGTGCTCCTAACGAGCTTTTTTAAAGTGTGAGTGAGCAAGACGGATCATTTGCAATATGTGTATATAAACCTACTTAAGATATGAGGAGAAATGTGATGAATGACAGAAGGTGAATGGATGGGTGACCGCTGGTCTATGATGCTGTCACTCAACAAAAAAAAAGCATATGAAAGAACAGAAGAAGAAAATGTTTCTCTTTGTTTCCCTTCCTTTTTCGCTCTGTCTCTCTCTCTCTCTCCTTCTCTCTTTTACTGTCAGAGGAAAGGAGAAGAAGAGAAAAGCAAAAGTTATCCTCTCCACTTGAAACAAATCAACTTGATTTCTTCTTGCATTTTTTTCTTCGCTTTCTCTTTTATTATACATAACCAAAAAAAAAAGAAAGTCGACTTCTTATATATCGAAAAAGAACTTCCGCTTTGAATGTTGTCCACTACTATTACTATTCTTTTTTATTTCTTTGAAGAATTCAATTGTATATGAACTTATATGAAATAATCAGCATCTATAAGGTATAACGTTCAATTATAATTTATATTTTTAATCTATTATCTAATCAATCGTCGATGCCTATCGAATGTTGTCTATTGTCGTTATCACTTATATTTTATTAATTCAACAGCCTTATCAGACTTATCAATTGGAAACCATTGAAGCAGCATTAGCTAGTACTGTTGAATTATCGTGTTCAGTCGGTCAAAATATCGAACCGACAAGTCCTGCAAAGGTAAATGCTTGAAGGGACAAGTGTTTGTATGTTTGAATACAGTTTGTTATTGTTGGTATGGGTATAGTATTGTATTGTTCAAAGAGAAGAAAGAGTGAAAGCAGTTTCCAGGGGGTGCACAATAACGATGACATCATGAGCAATACACAGCTGGTGGACGTACATACATATTCATTAATAGTTACTCAGCACGAAATTTTCTTTTATTTCTTATCTATAATTGATTTTTTTTTGTTCTACATTTGTTTAGATCATCTGGATTCGTGATGATCGAGCAGATATTGTCAGCCTTGACTCCGTCATCACAGTACGAGATCGTCGATTAAGTATTCTTACAATGACTAGTATTGATCGTGAAGAACGTATTTTACGCATAACTAATGTTGAAGAACAAGACCATGGTTTATATCGATGTATACGTGGTGATATTACATTAAATGAAATTCTTCTTGATGTACTTAGTAAGTATATTTTCTTGTCTTCTTAAGTCAATAGTCTAACTCATCTATATATATACATATGAAAACCTTCAAATGCACATGCATGTTTGTACTTTATCATATCCTTGTTTTGATCATCATTCGGGTTCATTTTGACAATGCAAACATATGGCCGAGGTGTGTGTATGTATGTTGACTGACCTTCTCTCTTCTTGAATGTTGTTGATACGTATACATACATACGTACACACATACATACATAAATGTATAAAGAGACAAAAACAATCCGCCTCATAGGTTTACATTTAGATCTTATATATATAGATGTATGTCATCCCTCCTTCATATATACAATAGAGAGTCTTAGTAGCCACACACACACTTATGTATATATATTTATATATATATATATATGAGCATGTATAAATATAAAAGAAATACATTTGACATTATGACATCAACTAACACCTTTTTGAAAAGATGCATGATATCCGGCGTATGAATGAAGAAAAATTTTTTGATGTGTAACTTCCGTTTATTGATGGTTATTTCTATTTCTCCAATAAAAATTTGTAGGAAGTCATTTAAATAGTGTCAGCAGCCTAACAACCTTCACTTCAATTACTATAAAATAAATGGTACGGCTTGCCTCCAAGGTATACAAATTAGTTTTTTTGTGTATCGACTATTCATTGTTCTGTTTGTTATTAGTAATCTATCTTCTGGGTGATTGTCCACTCCATTGAATCTATTCTTTCTTTTCTTCAATAGACGTGCGTTTATGTTCTTATAGGATGTCAATGAGCGTGATAGAAAAGGGTTTACCCACACTAGAAGAACATACAAAAGCAGCTGTGCATAAGCTAATTGTTTTTCAAGTATGACATCCACACCTTCAACATAAAAACAAAGACAACCAAATGATCATTTGATGAAGCATTAAATGAAAAAGTCTATTAGATCGTGCGTTAGACAATACCTAAACCTAACAAAGAAATTAATGTGATCGACGAGTCAAATAGAATATGAATATATATATATATATGTATGTGTATAAATGCGTTTGATCATAATACATATGTGTGATTGATAATAACATTGATGAATCAACATTAGTTATATGTCACGTTCATCACATTAGTTTGTCGATGAACACCATCTTGAGATAGGATTTTATCGGACACGTTCACTATATTTTCTTACAATTTACTATCTATTTATCTATTTTAGTACCACCCAGAATTACTTCACATGCACCGGAAGATATGCGTATGATAGTTCGTGAAGGAAAAGATGCTCGATTCTCTTGTACAGCAACCGGACGGCCAACACCCACTATTGTTTGGCAAGTCAATGGACTATCTAGGCCAACATTAGTTACAACAAGTATGTTTCTAATTTAAATAAAAGAAGATTAACATTCTCTTATATCTTTCTTTCTCTACAGTTGCTGGTACTAATGAAAGTGTGCTTATCTTACGCAATGTTTCACGATTTGATTCAGGTCGAGTTGATTGTTCAGCAACAAATACATTAAGTACTGTTAATCGACAATTTCTTCTTGATGTTAAATGTAAATTGAAATTTTTATTTATCTATTTTTTTTTATCATTCTCATCTTAATGATATATTTAGATAGGCCAACAGTTACAGTTCCATTTCATTGGTCTTATTTTCGTGTGAATGATTCACCAACAATTACATGTCTTGCTTGTTCATCACCTCCACCAACAACATTCGATTTTTTTCGTCCTAAACATGCAAATCCAATAACAAAGGGTATTAAAGATAAATTTGATGAAGTTCTTAATCAAACATGTCGACAATTAACAATAACTTTACATGTAAGATTAAAAGATTTATTTCAAATTTTATCTTCGGTATATGTAATTAGTTAAGTGATACATCATTATTTGGAGCATATGTATGTCGTGCAAAGAATATTGCCGGAATTTCACATGCAGAATTTATTATTAAAGGTTAGTTTTTAAATAGATTCTGGGTTTTCTTTTTAATTGATAATAATAAATTTTTAGAATTAATTCAATCAACTAAACATATGAAATCTATATCAGAAGAACATGCTTTAACACCGACATCGATACTTATTACAACTTCATCATCTACAGTAACAAAAAATGATGAACCATGTAAGTATACAATCAAGTATAGAAATGTCAATATAAATTCATTTTTTTTCTCTCTCTTACTATTCTCTATAGCTGAACGTCATATTGAATATTCATATAAATCAAATACAGTTGCAACGGGAATAATAGCTGAAAAAAATCAAGCATTTCAATTGTCAACATCGCTTTTATTATTAATAGTTCTTTTGTTCGTTGCTAGTCGATGTTGATAAGTTTTATTTTTTTTTCTTGTTCATGTCTTATTTTTTACAGTGATAAAATAAAAATATAGATCTGTTTTCGGAGAAACAAATTCGTCAAAACTAACTAATGTTATTTGTCTTGAATAGGTTGTTCTATTTGAGTATTTCATATTAATATATATACACAATTCAATTATTCATATTGAATAGATATATATATATACGAATAATTATATATTTGAATATTCATTGAACAATTATATAGATATCTTATTCAGTTAAATCACTAATGATATCTATTGAGTTTTGATATTTAGAAAGTTGCAGTTAATCGAATAGATAAAGTTATTAAAGTAGTCATCGAATATGACAATAGAGTAAAGATTGTTGATAACTTTACGCAAGAATACATACACCTATTCTTACTGTGTCTGCTGGGCATAAAAAAATTATAGACAGGTATTTTGAATCTTCGGTTAATGAACCATTCAAACTTCTTATCACTAAAATAATTTGTTACATCAATGAATAATAATATTTCATATGTCAAGTTTCGTTATAATTCAAGAAAACTATATCAATCATTTTATTTATTGTAAAAATAATATGAATATTTAACCGATGTTTGCCGTAAAGTCTATCAATGTCAAGGTTTTTGAAATCAAGTATACATTTTATAGGAGAGAAGAAGAAGAATAAATATAGAATACGGGGAAAAACAAACAATCAATCTAGTAATGAATCGGTAGAGGAATAGTACAATATATCTATAAAGAACTAGTTGAAGATTAAAACTACTATTTTATAACTTTATATATCAATCTGATTGACAATTATCTTCATCCTAGGTACAAGCAGTGGTGGATCTAGGATTTTAGAAGGGGGGGGGGGGCGATTTTGGCTAAAAGCTATTTTTCGAGCCCAATCGAAGTAGTGTGAACCCATTTTTTTTGTTCATTTTTGCTGTAAAAAATTGAAAGGGGATGGGCGATCACCCCCCTAAATCCGCCACTGGATGCAAGTATTATATATAAATACTTCATAATCAATGTATTGTTTTAAATGCGAATAACTCTGAACAAGGAAAATGATATCCAATACAATTACAGGAGTAATATTCCTTATATGTGATAAGAATTTAATATTATTTGATTTTATGTATTAAAATTTAATCTGAAAAATTGACTTGTAGCGACATCTAATCTATATTATAAAATATATAAACAAATTCTTAAAAAAATCAAATTTTTAGTTAATATAAATGAAATAAGAAAATTTTTCGTATATATAATAAAATTTATTTTAATAAATTTATTTTTAACGAATCGATGAAAACAAAAGAGAAAATTTCGTTCGATATTACTTTGTAATAGTTTGATTGTATTAAACTAAAGTAAATTTTTTTCCATGCCAACTATTGTTCTTGACCCACCATCGAAAGATAAATCTGAACAAAAATCAACATCAGATAATAATAAAGACGACGACGAAGATCACGTTACATCAGCAATTCGTAAAACCGGTTGTTATCAATTTCACGAAAAACTACAAGAATGTTATATTGAAAAAAAGGACTGGCGTGAATGTTCAAAAGAAATGCAAGAATTTCGTAGTTGTATGAAAAAAATTCAACGTCTTACTGCAGCTTCATCATCATCATCACCCTCACCCTCATCATCTAAGCAATAAATAAAATGTCTTCTGTTCGTGTTCGTTTTGCTCCTTCACCCACTGGACAACTTCATTTTGGTGGTCTTCGTACAGCTCTATATAATTATCTCTATACAAAATCATTTAATGGAAAATTTCTTTTACGTATTGAAGATACAGATCGAGAACGTACAGTACCCGGTGCTATTGAACAAATACAATCTATACTTAAATGGACACGTTTAAAACCCGATGAACCACCTGTTATACAATCTGAACGTGTTGATATATATCGAAAATATTTAAATAAATTATTTGGAAAATTAAATCATCAAAATCAACCACATGTCTATCGATGTTTTTGTACAACTGATAGATTAATGCTTTTAAGACATGATTGTAAACGTCGTTCACAACCATATAGATATGATGGACGATGTAAACAATTAACAGAAAAACAACAAAGTATGATTTAAATAACTCGAATGAAAGATATATGTATTATTCTTTAGACGAATATCTTCAACAAGGTCTTCCACATGTTATTCGTTTTTCATTACCAACTGATAAATCTGGAACTCAAAGTTATGATGATCTTGTCTATGGTCATCATGAACATAATCCATATGCAACCGAAGGTGATTTTATTCTACTTAAATCTGATGGTTATCCAACGTATCATTTAGCAAATGTTATTGATGATCATTTAATGGATATAACTCATGTTTTACGTGGTCATGAATGGCAAACATCAACATCAAAACATCTTCTTCTTTATAAAGCTTTCGATTGGCAATCACCTATCTATGGTCATTTACCATTACTTGAACGTGAACGTGGAAGAAAATTATCTAAACGTGATAAAGAAAATGCTATTAATCCAATTGAAATTGATTATTATCGTCAAAAAGGTTATTATCCAAATGCTATATTAAATTTTATTACACTTTGTGGTGGTGGTGGTTTTACTGATAATGATAAAGTCATTGGAACAAATCTTGATGAAATGATCTCATTATTTAATATAAAATTATTTAGTAGACATGCAGCTATCGTTGATTTTAAAAAATTATCTCTATGTCAACGAGCACATTTTAAACGTGAATATGATAAATCGGTTGAAAGTCGTCAACAAATAATTGAAGAACTTCGTCAAAAGGTTCTTCATTATTATCCAGAAAAAAATTCTTCAACATCAATACAATTACAAAATGATTATCTTGAAAAATGTTTAAATATGCTTGATATACGTATTAATTTACTTGATGAATTATTTACAAATAATTTATATGAATATTTATGGAAAGAACCAGAAATAAAAAAAGATTTTATTGATAATACTGAACATTTTAAATTTGTTATTAAACAAACTTTATTAAAACTTAATGAAATTCATTTTACACATGATGATGTAAAGAAATTTGTTGAAGAATATCGACCAAATAAAATTACTAATAAACAAATATTTCGTATATGGAGATTAGTTCTATGTGGATGTTTACAAGGACCACCTGTTCATGAAATAGTCACATTTTTTGGATCGAATATTGTACAAAGACGATTTGAAAATGCTCTTCGAGTACTAGACCAACAGAATGAAAATGTCCAAGTGAAGGTGTGATTTGTTTTCCTTTTTCTAGTTTAATAAAAAAAAATAGATTTTGACCTTCTCATTTTTCTTTTCTTTTTGATAATTAAATATGTTTAGATGAAAACTATTGAACTATTCAAAATTGATGTTTCCTGAACGAAAATTGAATCATGTTTTTGTCTGACAGACTTACAAATATGAATAGAATAATGTAAGATGCTTGTATGACTCATTATTTGTGGTATTGATCAATATTAATAATCCCGATATATTAGAAATGGGTAGTTTTATAATCATTTCCATTAATGAAGCAGATGTATCCATCGCGATGCGGCAGCTTTTTTATGAAAGGAATTTCAAAAACTCGGGAATTTATCCAAAATTTCGGTGTTAATATATACCGCACGATAAGGCTCGACGGATCTTATTGACTGACAAGAGCTTCTCTAGTTTAAACTGGTCACAGTCTTGAAAATCCAAAGACTTTTTAAATTGCCATCGCGGCAACGGCCCGGTAGCATTTTTCTGGCTATCGCCGCACGGTAGATTTTCAACCGTGATGGATATCTCTGTAATGAAGCAACTTAACTTCTCAGTTCATAATCTAACGACTATAGAAATATGATTCGATTTGTTTCTCATAGCAAAAATGGATGATAAGAATTTGTATGTTTTAAACGTAATTTAGAAAGTTTTGTCATTAGGAAAATGAATATTATCAGTGATATCATTTTCGAATAGCACATGTTCTATTTCAGATATTTTTCATTTCTATGGGTTCAATGAGCCAATTAGAAGATAGTGAAACACATGAAAATATATATCCTTCACCATTAGAAAATGATACACAACTGATTCTTGTAAGAATTCTCAAATTAATTCGACAAATATTACAGATTTTATTTTAGTCATCATCATCATCTTCATCCGCTGATGATGATTTACTCACAACGAATATGTTAACACATGATCAACAGATTATTTTTGATAAAGCACTTGGTGAAATGTTAACACGACATTTTTATTTAATACAACATGAATTTCTTTCATCGGATCATTTCGAAGGTTGGATATATACATATAATCGTCATCGATATAAAATTATCATAAGTTATTATTTATCATGTTCATGTAAAAATTTTCGAAAAAATTTTGTTTGTAAACATTTTCTATTTGTTCTCAAACGTATATTTAATGTTAATCTTTATTCATTTGATATTCGTCTTTCTATTATGCAATATCATCAATTTACAAGTATTGATCTCGAAGATATTTTTCAAGGACAAGTTCGTCGACTTTGTCCAATTGTTACACCATTAATACAAATAAATAAAAAAGAAAAATTACCATTAACACTTAAACGTCAATCAATTGATTATACGGATGTTTGTCCAATATGTTTTGAAAGTTTACTTATGAAAAATCGAAAATTAGTCACATGTTTTTATTCCTGTGGTAAATCAATGCATAAGCATTGTATGAATGAATGGAAACGTGTTCAAGGAAAATCTATTAATTGTCCACTTTGTCAAGCTCATTGGATTGATCCATCAACAGCAGAAAAAGCTGTACTTAATCATTATTCTCATCGTTCATATCCAGTTGTTAAACGGGAGAAATATATTCTTTGTTGTTTATATACTCCTCCAGATTGGCTCTAGTCATATGTGATAATCTAGATGATTTCTTTAGTTCAGATATATTTTCCAAGTCTGATATGATGATTTTTTCGTTTTGATTTTAGATTTATTTATTTGAAACAAACGAAAGAGAATTGTAGATAAAGAACTTTTTTTTTTGTTTGTATTAGATGAGCGTAACAAATAATTTTAAACGAAAATCATTTGCTGGTCAAAATGCATCAGCAGCACCATCATCGAATGGTGGCACACAAGTTAAACGACCAAAACGGTACGATAATTTTCAGTTTTTAATGAAAAAGTTGTATAGTTATTATTCTATTAAATAGGGCGAATGATGATGACGAAGATGATTTTATGGATGATCCCGCTTTTGATGATGCTGATCCAGAAAATAAAGAAAATGTCATTGAAATTGGTAAGAAAAAATAAAATCTTCAATTCATTTTATTTTCTTTTTTAAACAAAAAAGGTCAAGGTCCAGGTTATGAAATAACTAATGTTAAATGGTCACGACCAGATATTCCACCAATAAATTCTGCAACAGATAAACTCGTATTTCAACAAATTGATTTAGATACTTATACAGATACTGATGGTACACCACATATACTCGATAAAAGTCGACCACATGTTCGTGGTCATAATACTGTTATACGTCTTTACGGTGTTACTGATGAAGGTTATTCAGTTATGGCACATTTACATGGTTATATTCCATATTTTTATGTAAACATGCCGTCGGATTCATTTACTACAGCTGATTGTGAACGTTATAAAGTAAAACTTTCTTTCCAAAAATAATATTTCTCGCATTTGGTCTTTTTTTTTATTTAAATTAGCAAAATTTTCAAGCTGCTTTACGTAGTGAATTACGTGGTAAAGATGTGGTTCACGGCGATGTCGTACTTAGTGTTGAAATCGAACAAAAAGCAAGTGTTTATGGTTATCAACCTAATTCAAAACAAAATAAAGTACTTAAAATAAGTGTATTATTACCAAGATTTATTGCAACATCAAGACGTATCCTTGAAGGTGGTTTTTCATGGACCGGGAATCAGACTCAAATTTCTGGTTATAAAACTTATGAAACAAATATTGATTTTGAAATTCGGTATTATTAATTATTTTGACATAACAAAAGAAAAGAAAATTAACCTTGTTTTTCTTTATCATAGTCTTATGGCTGATTTGCATATCGTTGGTTGTAATTGGATTGAAATTCCTGCTGGAAAATATTTTATACGACAAATGCTTACTCGTGGAATGGTGGGACAACAATTAAAACTACATTCAAGGTTTATGAATAGAATTAATATTATTTTATTTCATTTTGTTTTATCGATATATAGATGTCAAATAGAATTGGACATATGGGCACAGGATATTATTTCTTATCCAACTGAAGGTGAATGGCAACGAATTGCACCTTTACGTATAATGAGTTATGATATTGAATGTGCTGGACGAAAAGGTTAAAGAAGAAAAATACAGCTTAGAAAATATATTGAAAAGTTTGTTTTTTCTTTTAGGAATTTTTCCTGAGCCTGAGCATGATCCAGTTATTCAAATAGCTAGTATGGTCATTCGTCAAGGTGACAAAGAAGAATTTATTAAAACTGTATTTACATTGGGTACATGTGCAAATATTGCTGGTGTTGGAGTTATTGAATGTAAAACTGAACATGAATTACTTGAAGTTTGTTAATAGAAGAATTCTGTTAATATTTATCTTTTGTATATTTTCTATTTAAGAAATGGGCTGATTTTTTACGTGAAGTCGATCCAGATATAATTACAGGATACAATGTTCAAAATTTTGATTTTTCCTATCTTCTTGCTCGTGCAAAACATCTTAATGTACCAACATTCTCGTATCTCGGTCGATTGAAAGTACGAAAAGATTTTTATACAAAAAGACAAAAACTGTTAAAATATTATATTCTTTATAGGATGTGAAAACTACAGCACGTGCAATAGTTATTCAATCAAAACAAATGGGAAGACGTGAAAATAAACAAATTAATTTAGAAGGACGAATTTTATTTGATCTTTTATTGGTTTTACTTCGTGAATATAAACTTCGTTCATATACATTGAATGCAGTTAGTTATCATTTTCTTCAACAACAAAAAGAAGATGTACAACATTCGATTATTACTGATTTACAAGTAAATATTACAATTAAATTTAGTTTTTGTATATCTATGTATACAATAATATAGAATGGTAATGCACAAACACGTCATCGTCTTGCTGTTTATTGTCTGAAAGATGCTTTTTTACCATTACGTTTATTAGAAAAATTAATGTGCTTAATTAATTATATGGAAATGGCTCGTGTTACTGGTGTACCAATGAATTATTTATTACAACGTGGTCAACAAATCAAAGTTATTTCACAAATTTTACGAAAATGTAAAGAAAAAAATTTACTTATACCAGCAATGAAAATTATGGATAATGGAGATGATTATACAGGAGCAACTGTTATTGAACCAATTCGTGGTTATTATGATACACCTATAACAACATTAGATTTTTCATCACTATATCCATCTATTATGCAAGCACATAATTTATGTTATTCAACATTGATTACTGATGGACGAATAAAACAAACGTAAGTTGTGTTGTTTGGTTTTTTAATAGTGAAAAATATGTATTCATTTGTTTTCAGTTTATCCGAGGATGATTATATCACAACACCAAGTGGTAATTGTTTCGTAAAATCTACAGTTTGTTGTGGAATATTACCAGAAATTCTTACAAATTTACTCACTGCTCGTAAACGAGCAAAACAAGTATTATTTTGCTAATTTCATATTAACCATGTTATTTTGAAATTTTTATTCAGATGATGAAAGAAGAAACAGATGAATTTCGTAAAAAAGTGCTTGATGGTCGTCAACTTGCTTTAAAAATATCTGCTAATTCAGTTTATGGTTTTACTGGTGCACAAGTTGGTAAATTACCTTGTCTCGAAATATCTCAATCAGTAACATCATTTGGTCGTGAAATGATTGAAAAAACGAAAGCTTTAGTTGAAAATGAATATACAATTGCGAAAGGTCATGAACATAATGCGCAAGTTATTTATGGTGATACAGATTCTGTTATGATTAAATTTGGTGT